CTCCCAAGAGAGATTATAGGTGAGGCATTGGGAGGGGACATTTGTAAGAAACAACTGTTTGAAAATCTATCTGTGTATTCTAGCTGTGTTTGTTCGTTTGGACTATTTGCGTTGCTTTGTTTAAATTATCTGGGTTGCTGCAGAGATACTCTATTGAACGTGAGTTGCCTGGGCCCTCAGCCAAAGGATTCGTTATCTCAGTAAATTAAACAATGGCAAACAATCAAGCCTGTGTTCTGGTTTATTCACAGGCCGGGGTGGTGGTGGTCAGAACACAACAGTAAGCAGGAGTCCTGGTATAACTTGAAGATTTCCTGTATATTAAGACCCCCCCATATAATAATATAGCTGCCCAGAGTCACTTCAAAATGAGGTGGCGGCAAATAATAAGTCAAATAAAGGAGTGATTCTCTTGAAGGCATAGGTCAGATTCTACAGGTTCTGTAAAAACAATGTATGTGGTCTTTCCTTCCTCTCAAGCCATAGGGAAGGGCCATGCCAATAGCTCCTCAATCAGCCAATAGAAAATTGCAGCCTCTGAACTCATCAACACCAAGTTCATGAATGAGGCACTGTAGATTTTTGTGTGTGTGTATGTGTGTGTGTCCCTCCCTCCCTCCCTACTTACTTTGTGCTGGAAGAGGGTAGAAACCCCTTATTTAAAATTACAGCAGCTATGACATATTCTGTATGCCTTTGGTGGGCTGGGAATAAACATTATAGTTGCTTCATGAAGAAGATGTCTCTTAAAAATCGGGCATCTCTGTGCTATTGTGAGCTTGTGAGAAAGAGCCCTGATTTGTAAAACCGTCTCAAATACTATATGTTCTTGCCATGGTCCATTGTTGCTTTGACTTCAGTGGTCTGCTCTGTATCTATATATCCCAATTCTGCTTTGAGACTGCTGAAATATTATTTTCTCTCCAAATTTCTTATACATTCCATAACTCTGGCTAGTTAAAAGATTGATTCCTGCTGGGGAAAACCATGTCTTAACTTCTACTATGTTTTTTTCTTCTTCTAAGGTCCAGAACCATGCCTGCTGGTATAAGTTGGCCTAAGTACTTGAAAATCCTTACTGCAACCATGTTGTCCATGCTTGCCGGTGCGCAAACCGTCCACAAATTTTACAAACCTGACCTCGTAAGTGCCTCCCACCTCCCCTTGATTGCTGTCTTGTCTTCTGCTTCAGAAAGAGAGGCTTGTTAGAGATAACATACAATTGGAGATTTCTTTTATCCCTTAGGATACATCGCATGGCTCTTTGGTGATTGCCTTACTTTACCTGCAAGCCTTGTCTTTTGCAGAGAGGAGAGCTATGTAGGAGGTTACTTTTATGGCTTAGCTATAAATCCGTGATGGCGAACTTATGGCATGCATGCCACAGGTGGTACGCAGAGCCCCAGTTCAGCTCCACCACACATGTGTGTGTGCCTCCTGTCAGCCAGCTGGTTTTTGGGTCTCTGCCGCACATGCACGGGGGGGCACATGCGGGAGGTGCATGCACATGCACAGGGGGGAGGGGTCACGTGGGCATGTGCACGGGGGGAGGCCACAGCCCATTTTTGGTCCCAGGTGGCTGCAGAGAGGCCTAGTAAGCCAAAAATGGGGCGCAGGGAGATACGCGGGGAACACAAGGGCGGTGGTGTCGGGTGCGCATTGCATTATGGGCGCAGGTGGGTGCTTTTGGCATGTGACAACAAAAAGGTTAGCCACCACTGCTATAGATTCTTCTCCCTAGAACTTTATCCAGATGTGTGTTTTTAAAAAAGAAATCAAATTTTAAAAAATGAACACACTTTTTTCTTTACTCAGAACTTGGAAATGTGTCTTATCGTTTCATTTAAGTTACTTCTGTGTTAGTTGACAACATGTGCTGTATCTCTTTCTCTGGGAGGTCAAAGCAGTACAAATGGGCACTGCCACCCTTTTATCCATAGAACAATCCTATGGAGCAATTAGTTGGGAAAGCAAAACCGGCCTTAAGCACTTGGCCTAATTTGCCCTAAGACTTGGCAAACATGGCTGTAAAATCTAGAAACAGCCATTTTTAAACAAATTAATGGTTTTATTATAAATAAAAATGTTGATAGTTTGGATTTTTTTTCCAATTCAGATATTGACGGCTTATTAAAAATGCCTGTTGTGCTCCATTTTCTCTATGTATGAGATGCATCAAAAAGCTTTTTAAGTGGTCACAGCTGGAGTAATTTGTCACTTTCAGTTCAAGTTGCTTCTGGGAACTAGTCATTGAACATAGAACATGGAATAATAGAGTTTGAAGGGACCTTGGAGCACTGTTCCCTCTAAGGTGCGCGGCTGCGCGGCCGCGCACATGGCAAGAAACCCCCGCGCAGAGGTTTCTAACTNCGGCTCAAGGTTGACTCAGCCTTCCATCCTTCCGAGGTGGGTAAAATGAGGACCCGGATTGTTGGGGGCAATATGCTGACTCTGTAAACTGCTTAAGAGAGGACTGAAAGCCCTATGAAGCGGTATATAAGTCTAACTACTATTGCTATATTCTCTCCATGTGGATGTAGTTCCGTTGAGGACTAGATGTTGAGTTTGTCAGCCAGATAGAAACCCACCTGACTGTGGTACTGTCATAGTCTGAAAATGAATAGTCACTGTAAGTTTCTAGTAAGAGTGCTAAATATAATCTGGAATTCTAAAATGTGTGGATTGACATGGACATGTGATGGATTTGTTTTTGGATATTATTTATTCATAGACACCAGAAATTCCTCCGGAAGCTGGGAAGCTCAGAACAGAACTGCCAAGTCTAAAAAATGTGAATGAGCCAGTTCAACCTTTACAACCACGATCATGAAAGCATCAATGTTGCATCCTCCATAAAGTGTTCCTTAGTAGGATTTATCATCTGATCGTGTACAATTGGAAAATCATGTATATTTAAAAGGACTTATTTTGTATCTGTATTGTTTTCTTGAGTCCAAGACTGCCTCCCCTACTGCCTGCTCCCCCCCCCCCCAAGGGTGACCCCCTGCTCAGCTAGTTATTTCCCCTAAAAAATTCTTTGCAGGAAGTATTATGTTTTGGAGGATGCTGGGATCTCTCTCTATATAATAAGTTCAATTACCATTTAAAAAGCAAATGTTTGGAAACGTTTTGCTATAAGCCAATTGAACAAGGTATCCATTTGAAGATTTAGCCTCACTGCTGTACTGCAATACGGTTTTCTGCAAAACATCCTGTGTCAAAAACATAGAAATTTTATTTCAGTGATATTTGTTCTTGACTATTTTGAATTTTCACAATCAATTTCTAATATTAAATGCAATGTTTAAATATAGTTTCTGTAAGTGTCAATTCATTTTTAGACATAATTCACTGTATTCCTTTTGGCTGGAAACTTATGGGAACTGTAGTCAGCACACTTGGTGGACACTAAGCTGGGGAAAGCTGGTCTATTTATTTTGAAGATTTGATTCAGAATAGCAGCATTAAGTGCAAAAGGCCTCCGACTCTTCCAAAATACTATACTGTTCGTATATACTAATACAAATACTATACAGACTATTCAAAAATTGTCCGGTGTATTTAATTGGAAGCATTTTATTGTAAACATATTTTCAATTTTCTGTGTATTTTGCATTGCAGTTATTAGAACTATTTTAGCAGACAATAGAGGTAGTCCTTGACTTACAAGTTCATTTAGTGTACGTTCAAAGTTACAACGGCACTGAAAAGTGACTCATGACTAGTTTTCACTTACGACCTTTGCAGCATCCCCTTGTCACATCATCAAAATTCAGAGTTGGAAACTAACTCATATTTATGAAAGTTACAGTGTCCCAGGGGCATGTGATCACTTTTTGTGACCTTCTGACAAGTAGTTCATGGGAAAGCCAGATTCACTTAAGAACTACAATGATTCACTTAACAACTGTGGCAAGAAAGGTTGTAAAATGGGACAAAATTCACTTAAAAATGTCTCACTTAGCAACCTAAATTTTGGGCTCAATTGTGGTCCTTAAGTTGAGGATTACATGTATACCTAACCTTAAATATGTGTAGCAAATATTTTCTTGAACTGTGCAAGTGGGATAGCACCTTGATGGGGCAACTGAAAAGAACAAGTCATCATTTATACAGTCTTTATATACATATTTTTATTCTTATGTCTAACAGAAGTATTTTGATTCTACAGCTGAGCAAAATCCTCTATTCAACCTGGGTCTAAATATGTGTATTAAAATGAGGGGGAAAACAAATTTTAACATTGGAAACTACAGAATCTAGGAATGAAATTTAAACATTTACTTGATGATAGAACCGCAGCAACTCCTTGTATTAACACTGCTCAAGTCATCAAGTTTTATTACTGTTAACTCAGATTATCTTCCATTCACATAAAAGCATTGAATAAGGTAACAGAAACACCATGCTACAAGTAGAAATTATTTATGAGGAAGCATGAAAAAGGGCATACAACATGCCTATTATGGCATGCAATGACTTCAGTTAGTATTGTACTCTTCTGCAAAGATGCACATAGCTAGTTTTATTGTCTTAGGCGTCTTCTTGAAAATGACCAAATTTCTATTTCTCATTTATTTCACTTTAAATATTACATATGTGAAATTTGGCTGAGGGTGTAATTGGCTTAAAATTATCCAATCTGCATCGTAAAGATCTGTCAGAATTCAAGTCCATTTAGCTCTCAGGATATGATAGATGCAATCAGCAGGACGAGCAAAAGTCTCCCACTGCATATAAAACCATTATTTGCTCCTTGTTTAAAAATAGATGCCAATTAGCTTGATAGAAGTCATTCATTTTTGAGTATCTAATGGCTTACTTTATCATAAAGCATCTCTGTAGGGTAATAACACACTTTCCCTCCAGCAAAATGTAACCCAAATTGTGCTCTTCCATCATGAAGGGAATATATTACAATGGTTCACACAACAAAGCTTAAATGGTATTTTACTAAATCCAATGTATTTAAGACTTGTTCAGAGAAAAATTAGGAGGAATTGCTGCAAAAGACTTCCTAAGTTTTGCCAACCAGCTAAAAATAGATTCCATTAAGCAGAAGCTTGCCTTAACAGGCTAAGATTCTGGTACAAATTTTAGTAGAATAGGAAATAATTGAAAGATATCAGTTCTAATTAAAGTGACCTTCAGAAAATAATTCCAGTCGAAGTGTTTTCCAATGTTTCTTCTGTTACAGAAGAATGTCACTGCCNTGCCTTGGAGGTCATCTAACCCAGTGGTCTCCAATCTTGGCAACTTTAAGACCTGTGGACTTCAACTCCCAGAGTTCCTCAGCCACCTTTGCTGTCTGAGGAACTCTGGGAGTTGAAGTCCACAAGTCTTAAAGTTGCCAAGATTGGAGACCACTGATCTATCCCCCTGCTTGAGCAGGAGATCCTATATCATTTCAGACAAATGATTGTCCAGTCTCTTTTTGAAAGCCTCCAGTGATGGAGCGGCCACAACCTCTGAAGGCCAGCTGTTCCTTTGGTTGGTTGCTCTCACTGTTAGAAAAGTTCTCCTTAGTTCTAGGTTGCTTCTCTCCTTGGTTATTTTCCAACCAGTTTTTTTTTGTCTTGTTTTTTGGTGCTTTGGGAAATGGTTTGACTCCCATGTCTTTGTAGGAGCCCCTCAAATATTGGAACAGTGCTATCACGTCTCCCCCGCCCCCCTTAGTTCTTTTCCTTAGCCTAGACATACCCAATTCCTGTAATTGCTCTTTGTATATTTTAGCCTCCAGCTCCTTAATCATTTTTGATGCTCTTTTCTGAACTTTTTCCAGAGTCTCAATATCTTTTTTATATCGTGGTGACCAGAACTAGATGCAGTATTCCAAGTGTGGTCTTACTAAGGCTTTGTAAAGTGGTACTAGAACCTTCATCTGATCTTGATTCCATCTCTCTTAATGCAGACTAGGATTGCATTGGTTTTTTTTTGGTTGCTGCCACATAGTTGGCTCATATTTAAGTGATTGTCCACTAGGACTTCAAGATCCCTCTCAAGATCCCTCTCGCAGTTACTGGCACTAAATGTTCACCAAGTCATCTATACAGTTGGGTGTTTTTTAACCTAAGTGTAAAGTCTTACTTTTATCTATGGCGAATTTCATTTTGATAGGGCCCAATGTTCAAGTGTGTCAAGATCTTTTGGGTTCTTGAGCTTGTCTTCTGGCATGTTGGCGACTCCTGCCAGCTTTGTGTCATCTGCAAATTTGATAGGTTCCCTTTCAATTCCCTCTAGATTGTTTATGAATGTATTGAAGAGTACTGGGCCTAAAACGGAACCGTAGGGCACCCCACTGCTTCCGAGCCAAGGTGGCGCAGTGGTTAGAGTGCAGCACTGCAGGCTACTTCAGCTGACTGCAGTTCTGCAGTTCGGCTGTTCAAATCTCACCGGCTCAA